CTAGGTGATCATCCTGATCTTCCTGTCTTGGCCTCCCATCTTGTAGCTTTTTAAATGGGTTCTAGGCATTGAACTCATGTCATCAGGCTTGCATGGCTAGTGTTTTGTTGTTGTTGTTGTTTTACCAGCTGAGACACTTTCCCAGTCCAAGTTTATGTATTTTTTATAAGGCTATAAAGTTGATCAATTTGAGATAAATCATTATTGTGCCATGAATAGTGAACGTCCATCATTAGTGCTGTGTACTATGGCATGGAAGGAGAAAAAGTCAGAGAGACAAGAGGAAGCAGTTTGGTTGGTAGTTCAAACTGATTTTATTTGGCTTGTATCAAACAGGGAACAGGGTTTGGGGTAAAAGGAAAGAACAAAGCAAATGTTCTAGGCTGCTCTGTCAAACTCTCCCGTATCCCACCTGATCAAGATTCTTAGCTGGGGCTGGATAGATGATTCAGTGGTTACTAAAGATGCACTGGTTATTCTTGTAGAGGACCTAGGTTCAATTCTTAGTATCCACATGGGGCTAACAAGTGCCTGTAACTCCAATGCCAGGGGATCCGATCCCCCTTCAGATCTTCACAGTCATTGCATGCACATGGTACACTTACATATATGCACACAAAACACTCATACACAAAAATAAATTTATAAGTACTGGCTGCTCTTGCAGAGGATGGGGTTTGGGGTCTCAATATACAGATGAGGCTGGCGTAGATCTCAGAAATCTGCCTGCCTTTGCCTTTGCCAAGTACTGGGATTAAAGGTATGCACTAGCATGCTCAGCTATATACAGGTTATATTTGAAATGATGGTGGGACACTCACACAGAGGTCACAAGTCACCATGAAGCAGGCCAACTTAGAAGGCATTTATGTAGGGATGATAGGCAAAAGACTGGAAATGAATGTGGTCTCTAAAGACAAGAAAGCAAAGAATATGGTCTGGACTGCTGGGGGATATAGCTCAATGGTAGAGTGCTTGGCCAGCATGCATGAGGTCCTAGATTACAGTCCCCAGTAGTGGTTAAAAAAAGAGAAAGCGGGCTGGAGAGATGGCTCAGCAATTAAGAGCACTGGGAGCTCTTGCAGAGGACCTGGGTTTAGTTCCCAGCACCCACATGGCAGCTAACAACCATCCATAATGCCAGTTTCAGGGGATCCAACACAGTCTTCTATCCTTATGGACACTGCACAACATGGGTAGACAACATATAGGCATACAGTACACTCATACACATAAAAAATAAAATAAAATTTTTTGTCTTTTTGAGACAGGGTCTCCCTGTATCCCCAGCTGACCTGGAACTCATTATATAGACCAGGCTGGACTTGAAGTCACAGAGATCCTCCTGCCTCTGCTTCCAGAGTGCTGGGATTAAAGGCATATAGCACCATGCCTCACTTAAAAATATTTTTAAAAAAGAGAAAGAAAAGAATGGATCTAGGGAAATGCCCAAATCTTGAGAACTTGAAGAGGAATAAAGGGTGAAGAAAATGAGAAAATGAACTTGAAGTTAGTGGACCTGTTTATCTCTTTCTTTCCGCAGTAAACACTTTGATTATAAAACATCTTCCTGGGCCAGGTGTGGGGTGCCAGCCTTTAATCCCAGCACTTAGGAGGCAGAGGCAGATGAATCTCTGTGAGTTTCAAACCACATAAGGAGTTCCAGGCCAGGGCTACACAGTGAGACCCTATCTCAAAACAAAAGAAAAAATTACATAATTCTGCCAGGTGTGGTGGCTCCTACCTGTAGCACTAGCTACAGAAACTAAAACAAGAGCATCGCCATAAATTTGAGGCCAGAATTGGCTACAGTGTGTGAAACCGTCTCAAAACACTTAATAGGCGCTGGCAAGAATTAAGAATATGTGCTGCGTGCTCTCAGAGAGGATGAGTTCGAGTCCTAGCATCCATGTCAGGCACTTAAAACTCTAGCTACAGAAGGATCTGATACCTCTGGCCTCTTTGGGCACTGGCAGTATAGGTGCACGCACGCGCACACGCATGCACGCACACACACACACACACACACACACACACACACACAGACACAATTAAAAAATAAAAATAAATCTTAACAAAAACCCAAACCACGGTCAGGTGTGGTGGAGCACACCTTTAAGCTTAGCCACCTACATAGTGAGTGCCAGGCCCACTGGGGCTATAGGGATACCCTGTCTCAAAACAAACAAACAAACAAACAAACAAAAACAATAAAAAGCAAAAGCCAAAATAAAATGAGCTGATAGCCCCTGGTGGTTTTTGAGTTCTGGATTTGGGTTTTTCTGACAGTTTGATTTAAATTTTCTCTATCTCTGGCTTAATATTTTCTTCCCTCAAGGTCTCTAGGGAAGCTCCACTAAATGGGACATACAAGGAACTTGTTGGCTCAAAGTCCTAGAATCAGGCTGGTCTGTACAAAGTCATTTCTTTGGAGTTTCCTTTTCTTATTTTGCTGGGCTTCATAGTGAGGTGTATGGACAAGCTGGGGAAGGACAGAGCTGATAGCACTTGATGGAACCCAGCAGAAGGGTGCAGTGTGGTGTTCAGAGACCAGCCACCCAACTGTCCTTTGTTTAGGTGATGTGGTGCTATTGGTGCTACTTAAAATATGAGCCTTCATGCTTTCTGCATGGAAAATGAAGTCAGACAATCTCTGCCTATAAACGAAAGGTACAGTCAGTTAAGTAGTAAGATGGAGGGTCACCTTTTATCTTAGGTCTCTAGAATCCCCCACTAATCTCACTGCCTGGCAATCCATCAAGAGTCTTTCCAAAGGGTTAAACATTGCCCTCTGCAGGTCACTCTTCTAAAATGTTAATTTTCTTAGAAGTAGCATCAAATTACTTGTCTGAAATTAGTTTATTAGACACAAGTCCTCAGCCTTGAGAGGGTACTTAATACCTGGAGAGAAGAAAAAATGGAAATCTGACTGGATCATTTTGTGTCTCGTCAGATGTGGGGTGGAAGGCAAGCACAGCTGCAGTGAAGGGAGAAGAAACCAGAGATATAGAAGCCAAGTTGTTCAGGCATCATAGAGCAGCTCCAGGCTGGGGAGATGGATCAGTTGGTAAAATGCCTGCTTTGAAAGCATGAAGACCTAAATTCCATTCCCAGAACCCCCCTTCCCCCCCAAAGCTGGGCAGTTTGTAATCCCTGGGCTAGGGAATCTGAGACATCAGGCTCCCTGGGGCTCACTGGCAGGCCAGCCAGCCTCTGAATCAGGTCAGTGAGAGTACCCTGTCTCAAAAAACAAAACAGAAGGCCAGTTGTGGTGGCATACACCTTTAATTCCAGCACTCACGAGGCAGAGGCAGGTGGTTATTTGTGAGCTGGAGGTCAGCCTGGTCTACATACACAAAACCACCAACCAACAAAAAAGAGTGTTTCTCCCTTAGAGTCCTCCCTTTTGTTCTTTCTTACTTTTCCTAAATAAATCTATGTTCCCTCTGCAGAACAAAAACCACCAACCAGATAGATGGATTGAGGAAACAGTATGATCCCTTACTATATGCTAGCAAAAGGACCTGAGTTTGAATGCCCAGTACCCATTTAAAAACCAGGCATGACCCCCTAGTGCTTGTAACCCCAGGGTTGTTAGAGACAAAAATACATCCAGGAATCTTAATGGCCAACCAGCCAGCCTAGTCTTCCCCTGGCCTCCATATAGGTATGTACCCAAACATACACATGTGCATATACACATGAGAGCAAGACAGAACAACTCAGTTGAGAGCAAAAAAAACGAAGTCCTCAGACAAAGGCCCTCTCCTTGCTTTGGTATAGAGTTGTGAGTGGGGTATATAGCAGGCTTTTTAAGATGCCAAAGGTATTGGGTCAAGCATGGAGGTGCACACCTTTAATCCCAGCACTTGGGAGGCAGAGGCAGGCAGATTTTTGTGAGTTTGAGGCCAGCCAGGTCTACATAGCAAGTTCCAGGCCAGCTGGAGCTACAGGGAGGCCCTGTCTCAAAAAAAGGGCTGGTAGGGCACAATAGCGCACAACTTCACTCCCAGCCCTCTGGAGACAGAGGCAGGCAGATCTGAATTCGAGGTCAGCCGGGTCTACATAGTGAGTTCTGGGCCAGCTGGGGATACAGGGAAACCTTGTCTTAAACAAAAGATGCCCAGGGCAGACAAAAAAAAATTTTGAGGAGCAAGTTGAGAGAGTAGAGGTGCGTAACCCACTTTCTCCATTACAGGATCATGCTTTCCTCACTGCTCTCCTGCCTCCCTCTCCCAAAGCCATGAACGTTTCACCTGGAAGCAAAATTTCGGAAAGTGCTGTGGTTGTGGCATGTGTTTGGCTTGTTAAAGTGGATCGTCATTTCCAGATGATTTTTCAGGGTAAGAGCCACTAAGGTGACCGCAGTCTTCAGTCAAGGCCTTGCCAGACTCCGGTGTGGCCTACTTGAATCCTGAGTCCCTTTTGGTCCCGATAGTATGTGACTCTTGAACAGACCTCTGTGATACCAAGCACTAAGCTGTGTATTGACACAGCACTGAAGTAATAAGGCAGTCTCTCTTTCCAGGGCTCCCTCTAGTGCCCAACCTGTTTCTCATTCCAAATGCTCAAGTGCCTTCCATTCTGGGGCTGGAAGGCAAGCTACTGGCTTTGGAGTCAGATCTACCAGTGCCTGGATGTTCCTAGCTGGATCACCCAGCACATAACTTATATTGCATCCTCATCTTTGAAATGGAACTTACCTCACTAGAAACTAAAGATCAAAGGATAGCAAAATCACATTTACTACCTATGCCTTCCACTTTTGGTTCCAGAAACACATCTAACCCCTAAGTCAGCTGTGATTTAATTAACTTATCCAATGTATATTTATAAAATGCCTGTGCTGCAGTCCCTGGTACATGTGCTTGTCAGTAATGTGTTAGGGGCCTGCATTCTGCGAATATAGGACATTCTGTGTCTTTCTACGTTTTGTCCTGGGGGCGGGGGGCGGGGGGATGTTGGGAAGGGACTGCAGGAGTTTTACAAGGCAGATTCAGTAAGCTTTTAGCACAATAATTTTAATTGCAAAAATAAACAGTTTTGTCAACTGCTTGAGAGGAGCGTCTGCTTTACAAAAATTAACAACAAAAAGGAAATAACCCCAAAGCAAAACGTCACATCCAAAGGGCTTGCTGGAAACGACATTGCTGTACAAAGTTTCGCGCGAGACCGGCTCGGCGCAGCCCCAGCCTGTCTCTGGAGGGGATAGAGAGGGGGCGTGGGGCGTATGCCAGTTACAAAGGGCTTTCTTCTGTCCCAAGGGAATGCCTACTCTGTGGCCTGAGAAGGCTGTCCCCAAAACGCTGGCAAGGAGGCGCCAGGACGCGGGAGCTATCCCGTGCTGAACAGGGCGTGTGCGGCGGGCGCTCCAAGGGAACTGGAAGGACTGGAGCCACCCCGGGCGTGCGGGGGAGAGGCGGGAAGAACAGCGGGGATGGGGACCGGCCAGATCTCGCCGCTTGCGCAGAGTGCCGGCGCCCCGACCTACAGGGCCAGCTCCAGCTCACATCGCGGCGAAGGAGAGGCCCAATGAGTAAAAGCCAAGACCTTTGAGGCGCTCCTCTGCGCGCGCCTTCTGTTTCAGGTGCACCTTGCTGTGCCGTTTCTTTTCGTCGCTGCGCGCGAAGCGGCGGCCACAGACGTCGCAGGCGAAGGGCTTCTCGCCGGTGTGGGTGCGCACGTGCGTGGTGAGGTGGTCGCTGCGGCTGAAGTTGCGGAGGCAGATGCGGCACTGGAAGGGCTTGTGGCCGGTGTGAATACGCAGGTGGCGATTGAGCTCATCGGAGCGCGCGAAGCTCCGAACGCAGCTCTCCACCGGGCAGGAGAAGGCCTTGGAGTGCGGCCGGGGGCAGAAGCAGCGCGCACCGCACTTGCCGCCCCGGCGTCCCTTACGCCGCGCCTTGGCCGGGGGCGACACGGGCTGCGCGGCCAGGCCGCTGCCCCGCGGGATATCCGCCACCAGAGGCTTGGAGAAGTCTGCGGTGCCCGCGCTGCGAAGGCCCAGCGGGGAAAGCTGGGGCTGGGAGCCGGCTAGGAACTCCCCGCCTTCGCCGCCACTCCCTCCCTCCCCAGCGGGAGGGGTCAGCAACCCCGGGAGGACCTCGGTCCCCTCCCCTAAGTCGCCTGGGGCCAGCGAGAAAGCGTCGTAGGCCCCGGTCGGGTAGAGTCTGTTGGCCGGGCCAGCACAGGGTAGCTCGGCGGGGCAGCTGATGGACAGCAGGTCCTCGATCTTGGTCCCAACCGAGGGGAAACGAGCCTCGGGGGTGCCCTGGTAGCCTCCCTGTGACCCACAGCTTCCTGCGGCCCCGACGGACAGCAGCTCCCAGGGCGCATAGGGCCCTTTGAAGGCCGAGGCAGCTTCCAGCGCTGGGGAGACTGGAGGGGGCCGCACGCCCGGCTTAACGTCGGGCGGGGAGAGCTGAGGCTCGAACAAGCACTGCGAGGGGGCGCCGGCGGAAGGCGCAGCCTCCCAAAACGCCTCCGAGAAGGCGGCCGAGCTCAGATCCGGGGAGTAAAGGTCTGGCGGAGCCGGCAGCAGGGCATCAGGGACCGCAGGGAAAGGGGCATCTAACGGGGACCGAGACGCAGCAGCCTCGGGGCCAGGGAAGGGTGCCAGGCCCAAGATGCCCGACATGAGGTTGAAGAGTGCCTCCGGGTCGTGCGGGTGCTCCGGAACCGCCTGGATGAAGAAGCTACCGCTGTAGCTGAGGCCCGGAGGGGGCGTGGGCGCACGGCCCTCCAGGAAGCAGGAGTCCGCTAAGTCCCCCCCGGCGCCGCAGCTGCTCAGAGCCCAGCTCAAGAAGTCTCCTGCTGAGGGAGAGCACGCGTCAGCTCCGGGCACCTCAAAGGGCGTGCCTCTCAGTTTGCAGCCGCGACCCACGGAACCCGAACCCTCGGGGCGCACGGCCACATGCAGGACTTCTATTGCTCGCCCTAATTCAGCAGGGGCCCACAGACGTCCCAGGACGCGCACAAAAACATGCACACGCAAAACACACGTGCAAGGCCAAGGAATGCGCTGGTACTCGCAGAGGCGCTGGCGGCCTGGAAGAGTGGGGGTGGGAATGGGACTGTACATCTCTGGACCCCCGCGCCTCCCTTGACCCCTCTCCGGATGTTTCCAGCATCCCAGCCCTCGCTCGTCCGCAGGCACCGCACGCCCCCGCTCCGCGTTCGCCGTCTGCGCCCCCCTAGCCCGCTCCTCACCTCCGGGATAGGCAGCGGCCGAGGGAGCGTCCCTGGCGGGCAGCCTAGGCAGTTCCGGGCTGGGTTCAGCGCCACAGCCTTCCGCGGACTTGGCGAGCAGCGCGTCGGGGCTAGAGAACTCGCTCAGGTGGAGCATGGCGCGGCGGAGGCGGGGCGCTTGGGGCCTCTCCTGCTGTGCTGGGGCGCGCGCAGCGGGTGGGAAGGCCAGAGGTCTGGGCGCCCCACAGCTCTGAGACCCGGGCGCCCGAGCTTCTGGCTCCCGGCACTCAGCTCCGGGCCACGGGTTGAGGGACCGCGGCGCCCTGGCTCGCGCGCACCGGCCTCGGGCAGCGGATCCTCGCCTCTCCAAAGCGCAGTAGGGCTCCCCCAACCCACAGTTCCCTCACTTATATAGCTGCGGCGGCGCTGGCTCCGGGCTTCCGACTCCCCCGGCCACTGCCATTTCGGGAGGCCCCAGCCCTGCCGCCGTGACGTAAATGACCAAACATGGACACAGGATGTGTGCCGGGGACTCCCGAAAAGGAAAGCTCGGCCTGTGACGTCGCTGCCACCAACGCCGCGCCGCTGAGTTCGCACCGCTGCGTGCGCGCTCGTCCTCCGAGCATGGAGTCCCGTGCGCGCCGGTCCGCGGGTACGTCTCGTAGGGGCTCTGCGCGGAGCCCCAGACGCGCGCTTGCGCTGGCACGCAGAAGCCGAGGGGCTGGAGGGAGGAAGGCCCTTAGAGAGTCTAGAGTTCGAACCCGCCCTGTTTTTAACATTTAAATTATGCTTTATTTTAATAAAAATGGCCATAATCCAGTATTTGCTAATGGTAGTGAGTGGGAACAACTAGTGCAAAATGTGTATTTTTAATTGAAAAACAAAGGTGTCTCTCATCTTCATTTCTGTCTCCTGAGGTAGCCATATTAAAGTTTCTTTTTAAAATATTTTATGTGTATGAGAGTATTTCCTGAATGTGTGTGTAAGTTTATCGTGCTGTGCAATGCCCTCGGAGGTCAGAAGAGAACATCAGATCCCCTGGAACTGGAATTACAGACAGTTGTTAGCTGCTGGGGATAGGTGCTGGGAGTCAACCCCAGTCCTCTGCAAGAGCAGCCGGTATTCCTAACCACTGAGCAATCTGTAGCCCCTAAAGTTTGAGCAATTTTTTTTGGGGGGGGGACTTTGTTTGGTTTGGTTGTTTTTGAAACAGGGTCTTACCATGTAGCCCAGACTGGCCTGGCACTCACTATGGAGACCCAGCTGGCCTGGAACTCACAGATACATACTCACAGATACCTGCCTCTGCCTCCAGGTGCTGAGATTAAAAGTGTATGCGACCATGCCTGGCTTTGAAAAAAAACATTTAATCATCATTTTTTAAATTGTTATATGTGTATGCATGAGTTTATGTATACCACATGCATGCAGTTCCCGGCAGAGGTTAAAAGAGGGCATTGGATCCCCTGGAACTGTAGTTATAGAAGGTTGTGAGCCTCCATATGGGTGCTGGGAACTGAACTTTGCTCCTCTGCAAGAGCTGCAGCTTTTATGCCTATGTATGAGTAATGCTGTAAAAACTTTTTTCACTTTAGTCGAAATGTTGCATCATGTCTGAACACAAAGACCTATTTGCTATTTTCTAAGGCTGAATAATTAATTCTCCATTGCACAGGAAGATGGTGAATTAGCTATTGATGAACACATTACCTATCCACGAACACATGGGTAACTTCCAACTTTTTGCTTTTAACCAGTGTTACTGTCTTTATTGTCTGTAAGTGAACATGCCAGGGATAAATTTCTGTGAGTGTAACTCTACCCTGCAGGATATTTAAATTTTTGATAGTTGGCAGGTTGTTGTCCAGGAAGTAAAGCCATTTTCTTGTTCCCTTACCTGCAGGGGATGAGGTGCTTCTGTAAACCCTTTTTCTGCCTTCATATATGTGGTAGCACACACCTGTAATCTCAGCACCTGAGAGGAGAGGCAGGAAGATCAAGAGTTCAAGACGAGTCAAGGGGGACAGAGAGATGGCTCAGTGGTTAAGAGCACTGGCTACTCCTGCAGAGGGCCTGAGTTAAATTCCCAGCACCCACATGGTGGCTAACAACCATCTGTAACGCCAGCTCCAGGGGATCCCTCTTCTGACCTCTGTGGGAATTGCACTGCACAAATGCACTTACATACATGCCAGCAATACACTCATGCACATAAACATAATGATAAAAATAATAAATAAAATAGTTTTTTGAAAGACCAGCCTTGACTACATAGTGAGCTGTCTCAAAAAAGTTTTATAAAAATAAATAAAAAGTTTTATAAATATAAAGAGATGCTGTTTCTGGTAACATCAATAATCTGCATCTGGAATAATTTGGATTCTCCCTGGAAAACAATAATTCTTAACTTTCAGGAGGCTGTGAACCTCAGCTGCAAAATATCAACTCCACTCCAGGGCGCTGAAGAGATGACTCAGCAATTAAGAGCACTGACTGCTCTTCAGTTCCTAGCACCCACATGGCAACTCGCAACCACCCATGCCTCCATGTGGGTACTGCTTACATGTATGTACTTACACACATGCAGGCAAAACACTCATATACATAAAATAAAAATTAAAAAAATTATTTATTTTTTTTTTGGTTTTTTTTTTTTTTTTCTTTTTGAGACAGGGTTTCCCTGTAGCCCTGTCCTGGAACTCACTATGTAGACCAGGCTGGCCTTGAACTCACAGAGATCCGCCTGCCTCTGCCTCCTGAGTGCTGGGATTAAAGGCGTGTGCCACCACACCCGGCAAAACAAAAAAATTTTAAGAGTCCACTCCACTCCAGCCTGCTCACTCTCCTGATCTCTCACATCTGTAATTTTCCCTCCACTTCTTCATCTCGCTCTCTCTTTTTCAAAATGTTTTACCTACATATATGGAACAGTATCACATGTGTGCAATGCCCAAACAAGCCAGAAGAGGGTGTCAGATCCCCTGGAACTAGTGTCATTGAAGGTTGTTAGGCACCATGTGGGCTCTAGGAACTGAACCTGGTCCTGTGCATGAGCAACCAATACTCCCAACCACTCCCATGAGCCATATCTCCAACCCCCATCTCACTCTCTTTTTAAAAACACTTATTTTATCTTAGCTCACTCAAATCATTTTTTAATCCAGGGAAATTAGGGGATTAAACTCTACATGGAATAGCACTTAAAAATGTTTAAGTTTTAGATTTATTTTTATTATCTTAAATTGTGTGTCTATGTGTGGGTTTATGCACCGGCATCCACCTGCACATATCACACACAGAGACACACATACACAGAAGTAAAAATAAACTAAATCTTTGAAAAAATAAGGAGTTCCAATTCCTGAGATTCTGGGCACTAGAAGGCAGGAGGAGCAGGTCCTCAGAATGGTAACATTCCCTGGAGGTGTGGGCTGCAGAGCTGCTGAAAGCATACCTCACAGACTCCCTTCCCCTGGCTTTTTTTAAAATAGAGAGTGCCCCTTATCTATCATGCATATCTCCATTGTTAATTTCTCAGTGTTCAGTCAGTGTTTATCAGGTAAGTGCACAGGGTAAATTTTTGCTTCTCCTGGAGAAGTTCACTTTCATCCTTAGCTACTCCTCCACCCTATAACAATCCTCCACGTGTTCCCAGAACAGGCCCCATCACACACTCATCTGCAAAACATGCTGACACGCTTTCATGCATCTTCTCAAACTGACAAACTGCAAAGGCTTTTTACAGCTGTACACTAGTCGTGTGTCCTTATCATGGTCACAGCTGACTGACTCTGTCATCAGCACATAATGTGCTAACACAGAAACAGGGCTGAAGATGTGACTCAGTTGGTAGAGTGCTTGTTCAGCACACACAAGGCCCAGGTTTGACCTCAGTAGTGCATAAACTGGGTCTGGTGGCTCAAGACAGAAGATCATAACTTCAAAGTCATCCTCTGGTACACAGTGAGTTTGAGACCAGCCTGGGCTACCTAAGGCCCTATCTCAAAAGAAAATTCAGAAATGTTTCTGTAAGGATCTCTCACACACAGCATAGCACTTTCCCTTCTATTCTATCTCAGACACAGCTTGATTCTAACCCAAATGCATCGCCTGGGCCAGGTGAACATACACCAGACATGAAGAGCACACACGTCTCATGTACTCTGGCATCTTGCTTCCTGGAGGGAGGGGGGAGAGAAGAGCTTGGCTGGGCCAGTGTCCAGGGCTCCCCAGGTGGTCCCATCAGGCCAGATTGGCCTGCCCCAGGTTGCCCATCCCTTCTGCTGTTCTTCCCTCTGCCACAGCATTCCACCTCCCTCTTAGTCATGGATAATTCCCCTAGTCCTATGGTGAGGTGCCAGGCCACTGCTGCTCTCTGCCAAGGGCTGTTGGGCTAGGTCTGTGCTGGGGTAAGTGTCCAAGTCACCTTAATTTGCTCTTGCTTGAGGGCAGGCTGGAGAGCAGGAGTGATTAGGAGAGGAGACAGGAAACTGCTCTGGGCTGGGGCGGGCACATCCCCATCTCTATGTGCTCACCTAGGGACGCATTCATACTCACACACAAAAATGGCTGCTTCTGGAGGATAATTGGCATCCATATTTGGTTCCTTGAGAATAGGAAGGGAATATAATGGGGGACATCTGAGCATTCCGTTCCAGTTTGGTCTCACTTCTCCACAACTCTGTGTATATACAAGTGCACATTTCATGTGAGCATGCATGTATGTGCAAGTGCATGTGGCGGCCAGAGGTCAATGTAGATATCTTCTTCAGTTGGTCTCCACTCTATTTTTGAGATAAGATCTATCCTTGAACCTGGAGTTCATCAATTCAGCAAGACTAGCTGGTCAGCGAGATCCAGGAGTCTTCCTGTTATCCCTTCAGCTCTAGGATTACAGGATTTAAAACAAAAAATGGGTTCTGAAAATCAAACGCAGGTCATCATGCTTGTGGGGCAAGTACTTTACCCACTGAGCCAGCATTTAAATAGCTTATAAAGAGGATCTGAGTCCAGGTGCAAGTCCAGGTCTTTGGGAAGGGATAGAAGAAAGAGAAGCTGAGCTCTCCCAGCTCCACTTCTATCAGACTTTAGATAGAAAAAACATGCATGTCCAGAAGAGAAGTCACATCCACCCAGCACTTTGCAATCATCTCATTTTTTCATCTCCTAAGTCATTGGAGTGAATAATTGCAGATTCTTTTCTCTAATGAGGAAACACTGAGAGGTTACATGAGTTGCCTGCAATCTTCCATGACTACCTGTAAGTAAGGGTGTGTATTGGGGGGAGGGTGCTTGGAGAGAGCAAGAGAGTATTTTACATGAGGACAAGTGTAGGGGAGAGTTTATTTTCCAGCACCAAAAAAATGGTTGCTGGATGAATGAATGAATGAATGAATGAATGAATGAACAAATTCATTCACTAAATGTTCATTGAGCACAGCCCAGTGCCTGATGCTGCAGCCCTTCAGATGGTGATGTCACTGCAGTGCCTGGCACTGGAAGCTCTGCATCTAGAGGGTGAGAAGCGGGGGAGGGGCTGGGGAGGATGGCAGGGAAGGCAACTTGCTTTCCCTCTGCTCTGTGGGAAGGGCCCGGCCCCTGCCACAGCTCTGGTAACTGCTCTCTCCCCCACACCCCACCTTGATCTTTCGGCTCTAAATATCATTGTGTTCAAATAATACTGTGTGTATTTTAAAAGACTCCAAGAAGACAGCTGCCTGGGAGTATTAATCATGAAGAGACCAGTGCTCGGTCGCCATGGTGACTTCTGACAGAACTGAAGAGCAGTTCTCTGCTCCACTTCCTGGAGCCACCAGGATGCAGGGACACTG